TTCGTGCTCCGGCTTCCTCCCCAAAACATAGCCCATGCAACATCATGCAGCCATTCCAATGCGATCTGCAACCGGAGATTCCAAAACACACTATAACTACGCACACACAAGCACACCCAAAGCAGCTTCAAGCCACCGTTACACTGGGGCAAAAAAAAAACGACCACCCGACCCCAGCCGCACCCGCCGCACAGACGAGGTACCTTTCATCGCCGGCTGCAGCCACTTTACACGGAAAAACCCACGGTTTCGTGCTCCGGCTTCCTCCCCAAAACATAGCCCATGCAACATCATGCAGCCATTCCAATGCGATCTGCAACCGGGGATTCCAAAACACACTATAACTACGCACACACACAAGCACACCCAAAGCAGCTTCAAGCCACCGTTACACTGCGGCAAAAAAAAAACGACCAGCCGACCCCAGCCGCACCCGTCGCACACACGAGGTACCTTTCATCGCCGGCTGCAGCCACTTTACACGGAAAAACACCAGGTTTCGTGCTCCGGCTTCCTCCCCAAAACATAGCCCATGCAACTCACTGCAGCCATGTCCATTGCGATCCTGCAAACCACGTAGTATTCCAAAACAACACTATAACTACGCACACACCCATTCACACCCAAAGCAGCTTCCCTTCGTCACCACTTCCCTTCGTCACCACTCCCCTTCATCATCACTTCCCTTCGTCACCACTTCCCATCGCCACCACTTCCCTCCGTCACCACTTCCCTTCGTCACTCCCCAAAACATAGCCCATGCAACATCATGCACCCATTCCAATGTGATCTGCAACCGGAGATTCCAAAACACACTATAACTACGCACACACAAGCACACCCAAAGCAGCTTCAAGCCACCGTTACACTGCGGCAAAAAAAAAAAACGACCACCCGACCCCAGCCGCACCCGTCGCACACACGAGGTACCTTTCATCGCCGGCTGCAGCCACTTTACACGGAAAAACACAAGGTTTCGTGCTCCGGCTTCCTCCCCAAAACATAGCCCATGCAAGATCATGCAGCCATTCCAATGCGATCTGCAACCGGAGATTCCAAAACACACTATAACTACGCACACACAAGCACACCCAAAGCAGCTTCAAGCCACCGTTACACTGCGGCAAAAAAAAAACGACCAACCGACCCCAGCCGCACCCGTCGCACACACGAGGTACCTTTCATCGTCGCCTGCAGCCACTTTACACGGAAAAACACACGGTTTCGTGCTCCGGCTTCCTCCCCAAAACATAGCCCATGCAACATCATGCAGCCATTCCAATGCGATCTGCAACCGGAGATTCCAAAACACACTATAACTACGCACACACAAGCACACCCAAAGCAGCTTCAAGCCACCGTTACACTGCGGCAAAAAAAAAAAACGACCACCCGACCCCAGCCGCACCCGTCGCACACACGAGGTACCTTTCATCGCCGGCTGCAGCCACTTTACACGGAAAAACACAAGGTTTCGTGCTCCGGCTGGTCCCCAAAACATAGCCCATGCAACATCATGCAGCCATTCCAATGCGATCTGCAACCGGAGATTCCAAAACACAATATAACTACGCACACACAAGCACACCCAAAGGTGCTTCCCTTCGTCACCACTTCCCTTCGTCACCACTTCCCTTCGTCACCACTTCCCTTCTTCACCACTTCCCTTCGTCACCACTCCCCTTCATCACCACTTCCCTTCGTCACCACTTCCCATCGTCACCACTTCCCTCCGTCACCACTTCCCTTCGTCACCACTTCCCATCGTCACCACTTCCCTTCGTCCACTTCCCATCGTCACCACTTCCCTTCGTCACCACTTCCCTTCGTCACCACTTCCCTTCGTCACCACTTCCCATCGTCACCACTTCCCTTCGTCACCACTTCCCATCGTCACCACTTCCCTTCGTCACCACTTCCTTCGTCACCACTTCCCTTCGTCACCACTTCCCATCGTCACCACTTCCCTTCGTCACCACTTCCCTTCGTCACCACTTCCCTTCGTCACCACTTCCCTTCGTCACCCTTCATGTACTCTCACACCACCCTTCATGTAAAGTCTCACACCACCCTTCATCAAGGTCAAGTCTCAATGTGATGTATTGTTATGTCATGTAAAGTCTCACACCACCCTTCATCAAGGTCAAGTCTCAATGTGATGTATTGTTATGTCATGTAAAGTCTCGCACCACCCTTCATCAAGGTCAAGTCTCAATCGCGCACCACCCTTCATCATTTCAAGTCTCAGAATTCTATTTGTCCGTAACACGGAAGTATTGCTTCCCAACTTCCTTTGATCACTTATCCAATCTTATTATCTTCCCTTCTCCCATCATCCTTATTCTTCAAGATTTTCTTTCAATGTCTTCTTCTGCCTGCTGTCACCTTCATCATCTTGTCTCGTTTCTTTTTTCCGGTGTATCAAGGAACTTCCTGATCTTTATGATTACCCTTGGTGCGAACCGCTGGTGGTTTTACACTTTTGACCTGGAAATCTGCTTCGCGCAGCGCAATGTTGCACTTTTCCTCCATTCTAACTTCGTGGAGTTTTACGCTTTTGACTTGTACATGGGCTTCGTTCCACACGCTGGTGCATTCCGCCGGTCCGTACGCACCTCTCTCGAACACCTTACCCCTTTTCCCCGCCACGAAGCCGTGCAAAAACAATGTTTTTCCTTAGATGATTTGTATCAATCTTTGTTTTAGGCCCCAGTCGTACGTCACGACGCGTTTTATGCTTTGCTTTTCTGCTTGGCAGTGCGCGTTTATGTGTATTTTTCCTCCACACCTGTCACGCGGATCGACGGGTTGGGTGGGGGTTGGGGGTGGGGGTGGGGGGGCTTAATAGCGTTCTGTCGCCTTCTTCCTGTTGCATCTTCGTTTCGACACGCTCCCGATGTTACGCTCTATAGATCTTCTCTTGCAATCCTCGACACGCTCCCGATGTTATGATCTTCTCTTGCAATCCTCGCACGCTCATGATACGCTCTATAGATCTTCTCTTGCAATCCTCGACACGCTCCCGATGTTACGCTCTATAGATCTTCTCTTGCAATCCTCGACACGCTCATGATGCTACGCTCTATAGATCTTCTCTTGCAATCCTCGACACGCTCCCGATGTTACGCTCTATAGATCTTCTCTTGCAATCCTCGACACGCTCATGATGCTACGCTCTATAGATCTTCTCTTGCAATCCTCGACACGCTCATGATGCTACGCTCTATAGATCTTCTCTTGCAATCCTCGACACGCTCCCGGCAATCCTCGACACGCTCATGATGCTACGCTCTATAGATCTTCTCTTGCAATCCTCGACACGCTCCCGATGTTACGCTCTATAGATCTTCTCTTGCAATCCTCGACACGCTCATGATGCTACGCTCTATAGATCTTCACTTGCAATCCTCGACGCGCTCCCGATGTTACGCTCTATAGATCTTCCCTTGCAATCCTCGACACGCTCATGATGCTACGCTCTATAGATCTTCTCTTGCAATCCTCGACACGCTCCCGATGTTACGCTCTATAGATCTTCTCTTGCAATCCTCGACACGCTCATGATGCTACGCTCTATAGATCTTCTCTTGCAATCCTCGACACGCTCATGATGCTACGCTCTATAGATCTTCTCTTGCAATCCTCGACACGCTCCCGATGCTGCACTCTATAGATCTTCTCTTGCAATTCTCGACACGCTCATGATGCTACGCTCTATAGATCTTCTCTTGCAATTCTCGAAACTTGCCTTGGGACATGAACCCAAAGACTTCCTGGTCTTGGACAAAAACAGCTCTTGGCTGTTCGAATGAGTTCACGCGCCAGGACAAAAAAGAAACGTCCGAGTCCGTGTCAGCTTCTTTGAGCTGTGGATTCTTCTAATGCTCTCAAATGCCGTATTCAGCTGAAAACACATTCAAACACACACAACTCATTGAAACTAGAATCACCCATACCATACATCAAAAAAGGCGCACCTCGCTGGAACGAAAACACGAAAAAGACTAAAAACCTTCATTTCGCACTAGCCCCGTGCAAGATGATGCAACTGCTATGTGAAAAATCCAAGTCAAAAAAAAAGTAAATTATGTGGGTAAAAAAATGCCATTTCACTGTAGCGAAACTACCACCAACATTTAAAATATTTAAAAAGATGCATTTCGCTGTAGCCCCGTGCGACATGCGCGAAACTGTGGTGCCATGGAAATTTCGCTCAAAATTTTAAAAAACCAAACATGAAATGACATGACACAAGTAGATGAAAAAAACACAAAAACACCGCCAAAACCATAGAAAATAGAACATGACGTCACTTGGCAGCATTTCAGGCGCGTCTTGACGCACCACTAGACCGTTGTTTTAGTACATATCAATACACTTGGAGTGAGCGTCATTGTTTTTGTGGAAATGTTGCATTTTCGGAGACTGCCAGAAGGCAGGATTCATCATTCATCAAACATATTGGAAGACATCTTGGGCTTACATATGTTTCACGAGGCATCATTGGGCGGGCTCCTCAAACAACGTCGCAAGTCGTGAGTCCTTTTTGCGCGCGTGGCTTTACATATCAATCTTTGAGTCCTAGTCTGCCGGCTTTGGCGCGGTCAATTTTGCGATGTAATCTGCCTAAGGTGGTGATAGTTTCGAGTTTTGTCGGTTGATTGAATTTTATTGGTTTGGCATAGTTCGGCTGAATATCTTGGTCACGTCGTGTCCTGTTGGCTTTGTATGTGATGGTTTCGACTGTTTGGCAAGGTGGAGGGGAGTCTCCACACTGACACCTGGCGCCCACCAGTGATTGGGTTTCTGTTTGGCAGGTGTCTTTCTCAACGATGAGCAGCACAGCATTGGTACCATATATTTGCTACGCACACCCCAACGGCTTGCGAAGTCACTTGCCCCATATCTTGGTGCGCACATTCTGAACTTTAGAGAAGCCAGTGGGAGCTTGGACGATTTCACCAAGTAAGTTTCAAGGTTGGACCTGTCAGCGTATTGCGCGTCAGTGCTCGGTTTCTGGGAGCTTTGGTAGGGTCACAAAGTTGGTAGTGAGGATACCGTCAGTTTATCAATCATACATATCATATGGCATAGTTATAGTGGAATATTTATTAGGTGAAGATGTAATATCTTGATATCTTGTATTTTAATATGTAGTATATAAAACATGTACACAGCAACCGTTCACCATCAGTTGAGATAATGAAATGCCACGAATCCCTACTGATACCGGTTGCGCCCCAACCATTCACAACTCTAGGCAACCTCAAGTACACAAATGTTTTTTGCAGAACTGACGAGCACACTGCTATGGTGATTGCTGGCTCACTTCTGCTTGCTTTCGGTGCCTTGACAACTAAGATGTCAGTGGATGTGGGAGAGGGAAGCCAAACAGCAGTAACGGTGGTGCACATGGTTGTCTTTTGGGACCAGACCCCTAACGTAGAATGAGAGGGAAAATAGACAACATCTTTAATTTTTTCCATCTCAGGATTCTCGAAACACTGAGGCGTTTGTGGCTTCTGGGGCTTCGCAGCCTACCTCGCTCACATGTGTCCCAAGTGGTGTTCTACTGGAAACTTTCGAAGGGTGCAGAGCACCTTGGCGCTAAACCAGCCCTTATGGTAGAATAACAATACAATAGAAATCCAAGTTTGGTGCGAATGCTCTCTGAACATCACGCTGTGATTTTTGGAAGCTATGGAGCGTGAGCGATGTTCCCTGCCAAACATTTTTTTCACAACACGTGAGAGAGGCCAACTCCAGTGTCGTGATGAATCCTCAATGTTTCAAGGTGCCAGATTCTTATTGGGCCGCTTCCGCCTCGATGTTTGGTGGTATGGAGTGCCGTTGCTCCTTCGAGGAGGGGGAGTGTAAAGCTTCAGCAGGGTTCAGCCCTGAAACCATCAGCTTGCAGGACCGTTGCTGGCACTGACCGTGGTGGTGGCTCCTGACTATCCGGCCGTGCAATGTTTGGCCTGCCAGATTATTCTGATGACGTTCATGGCCGTGCAAATCTACAACTGGCCTTGGAAGGCGCCCATTCTCAACGTTGTGGATATGGTCGTTTGCTTCCTACTCGTCATCCTCGTAGCTGTGGCCGGCTTCTACGTCCCAGCAGTCACAGATGGTCTGAAGACTTTCTTCGAGGTCTTCAATATTGTGGCTTTGAGTGGCCTACTTGTGCTGGTTGCTCAGCTGCCCATAGTTCTACCCGGGCCTCTTTCGAAATGCATGTTGATGTTTTTTGGTTTTACTGGTTTGTTGGAAAAATAAAGCACACATACTCGCTTTGCCAACTTCGTATCTTTTTTGGTTCGACCGCACTTTACTTTGTCGGAGAACCCTCAGTGCGTAGATGATAGAACTTTGACATTCTGCGGTTTCCGAGGTTGGAGTAATGATCCTAGCATCTGTGCTGGCACTCTTCTACCGCGCTGCTATCGGCAGCCAACAGGAGTTGAAGATCATGACCGTTGGGAAAACACCACCGCCGTCACAGGCAAGGTATGTGCGACTTCACTTGCCTACGAGCGGCAAGACATGTCTTTAATCGCACTATAGCCGCATGGGTTTGTTGTCTGTTGATATATTTTCCATTATTTTCCTACGTCCTTGGTCAGGGCTGGTTTTTTTGGTTTTGCGTTCTGCCTCCTTCGGCTGAGCAATGACTCATCACAGCTGGCCCATTTACTCGACATGACCCAACTCGATCGACTGAATGCAGCTTAAATGTAACGGTGGCTGTGCGTTTCTTTGCCGTGCCGCTTGGTTTTTGATCCTCATTTTCCCCATTCCATTTTTCTCTCCCAACTCATCTGCTCAATCTCCGATGATCTCTTGCTCGCTCAAGTTGTGTCACCTTTGCCCAGCTCAGCCTCGACCCATACCGCCCATCATCGAAGGTGGCCTCCGTCTTGGTGCGCCAGATTGCAGCTCTGGTCAGCAAATCCGACGAGCAGATGGCTGCCAAGTTGGAGAAGCTTGGAGTTTACGACTTGCAGGCGCTGCAACTGGCCTCGTCTATCCTGCAAAACGAGGCCGGGTTCAGACGAATCGCGATTTGAGCCTCGAAAGTCGCGAAATTTTGAGAGACGAGACGTTGTTAGAGAGATTTTGCGGCTCGGTTGTTGAAGCTGTCCGCTCGTGTGGCCAGGTAGTGGATGCTACGGATGCTATTGAGCCCACCAGGTCCAGCAGGTCGACTTCTCGCATCACTTCCCAGGCGTTGGCACCGGCGCCGAAGAAAAAGGCAGAGCCTGAGCCCCCGAAGCCTGAGCTTGATAAGGATGATGAGGATATCAGGGACGGAAAGATTGGGAAAGGGCGGAAAGGGGGTTTGGGATAGTTCTGTGTTATGGCAAGGGAAAGAAAACCATGCCCCCGCGCCATATACCGCCAGAGGACCCGAACAAGGCCAAGCAAGCTACGGTGTGATTGTAGACGGCTGCGGGGTGGCTTGACGTTGTCTCATAGTTCCGGCTCGTATTTGTACGGCAGGAACTTTGAAATTTCGGGAGCTGCAGGATGCGGAGTCTTTTGATCCTGCAGCACTGCAGCGCCTAGAAAACAATTATTTAATTACTTTTTCCAAGTCAGCAGTGTTGATCGGGATGGTTCTGGCTTTCCCCTTTCAAGTGGAGCTGCAACTGCCACAGCAAGTGCGCAGTTGGGAAACAAATTCAGCGCTGCCAGCCATTGGGCTGAGCGCCGACTGACAGCAGGAAAAACCTCTTTAAGAGGGAAGAAAAACCTGCCCGTGATGACTCTCTCCGTAGGGAAAAGGAATCTGCGCACCCCGCCAGGCGTGCAGAGATGCCACAAGCAAACAGCACATGTGTCTCTGACTTCATATTAGGGACCACCAAGTGTACTGTCCGAAACTGGTGCCAGGCTTTTCTCCTCGTGAACTGGGACTTGCTCCAAGCCGCAAGCGCATCTCCCCAGCAAACTGCCTTGAGAACACTTGGAGAGGACGGAGGCTTTTGCTGAATCTGATCCTTTTCTTCTGTTTTTCATCCTTTTTGTATCATGGAACCAGGTTAATGTCTCAGTAAATTCATGAAAAGGAAGGAAACCATGGGAGTCATACCTTCAAAAGCCGCTTGATTGACAGCATGATTCCTCTGAGGCTTGGCTGATGAGTCGAGATCATTCCGCTGGATGTGCCGTTGTGGCACCTGATCAGGATTGGAGGTAGGACCTTTTTTTTGGTGCCAAGCGACAAAACTATGGGCCAAAAGGTCCCTGCACAGGTTTACGTCTTTGTATATCTTTGTATCCTCGCAACACATTGGATGCTGTACAGCCCGCTTTCGCTCTTTAGCTAAAGACGCTTTCAGGTGAACGCTTTACGCTTCGAGGCCACGAGCGAGTTCGAAGCACGAAGTGTTCAGCTGCGTTCAGCTTGATCATTGGGGTAGAAATTGAAAATCATAAATTAAAATAGCATAAACAACATTATATAATATAAAACAACATTGAAACAGCATTAAAGCAAGGTAACAGCATCTGTAAGAGGCCGTGTCGCTGATGACATCACACAGTGCCAGGACGATGAGAGAAGTGTCCGAAACTGTTGTAATTTATACATTTTCATATTTCTGGAATTAAATTCTGGTGCGAATCCCTTGGAAAGGTCACTTCAAAAGTGGAAAATCTAGTGTTTTACAAGCACGAAACAGGAGTTTTGTTCGTCGAGGGTTTCGCCGAAAAGTTCCTTTTTTCCTTTCAAGCACACAGTTGTCCGAGGTTGTTTAGGACATTGCCTTTGATGCTCTTGCGCCAGACTGCATCTTACAAGTACTTCCAAATTTTTCTGAAGTCTTGTCTGCAGTCTTTATGTGTATTCAACTGCCGGGGAATCGTGTTTTTAACCAATCCCACTGTTTGTCTAAAGTCTGTGTTCCGGCCAAAGAAGAACTCTTTTTCGTGGGGGGGGCTTCCTCCCAAGTGCTTCACAAACTCACCGCGGTTGTGGGCAAAGTTTTGCCATTTGAGGCGTTTTTCTGGCACTTGTTGTTTGGAGGCTCTTTTCCAAGCTTTGCAACCATCAGCATAGCAAGCTGTTCTGGCTCGTAGCATGACGTATGTGTGGAAGCGCAAGAGAACGTGCAGCAGCGTAGCATGACGTATGTGTGGAAGTGCAAGAGAACGTGCAGCAGCGTAGAATGACGTATGTGTGGAAGTGAAAGATATTGTGCAGCAGCGTAGCATGACCATTGATACCTAAAACAGCATTGAAACATTGTAAAACCAACGTTAAAACAACATTAAAACCACATCAAAACAACGTTAAGCCAACATTAAAACAACATTAAAACAACATTAAAGCAACATTGAAACAGCATGAAAACAACAGTTCAACAACGTTGAAACAGCATTAAAACAGCATTAAAACAACATTGAGACAACATTAAAACAACATTAAAACAACATTAAAACAACATTGAAACAGCATTTGAGCAGCATTAAAACAACATTAAAACAAAATTGAAAACATTAAAACCACATCAAAACAACGTTAAACCAACATTAAAACAACATTTCAACAACATTGAAACATCATTAGAACAACATTGAAGCAGCATTAAAACAGCATTAAAACAACATTGAAGCAGCATTAAAACAACATTCAAACAACATTGAAACAGAATCAAAACAGCATTAAAACAACATTGAAACAACATTAAAACAACATTGAAAAACATTAAAACAACATTAAAGCAACATTGAAACAGCATCAAAACAGCTTTAAAACAACATTGAGACAGCATTAAAACAACATTAAAGCAACATTAATACATCATTAAAGCAACGTTAAAACAACATTAAAACAACATTGAAACAGCATTTGAGCAGCATTAAAACAACATTAAAACAAAATTGAAAAACATTAAAACCACATCAAAACAACGTTAAACCAACATTAAAACAACATTTCAACAACATTGAAACATCATTAGAACAACATTGAAGCAGCATTAAAACAGCATTAAAACAACATTGAAGCAGCATTAAAACAACATTCAAACAACATTGAAACAGAATCAAAACAGAATTAAAACAACATTGAAACAGCATTAAAACAACAATAAGACAACATTAATACAGCATTAACGCAGCATTAAAACAACATTAAGACAACATTGAAACAACATTAAACCAACATTAAAACACCATTGAAACAGTATTAACCCAACGTTAAAACAAGGACACGCCGCCCGCAATGACCCCGCGCAATTTCACCTTTTTTCCAGCAGCTCAGTCTTCAGTTTTGCAACCCTTCCAGGGTTTTGTGACATTCGCATTTTGACATGACTTGCATTTCCATTGGTATTTGCATGACTTTGTAGTCGTTTTCATGAATTTACAGTGGTCGAAGCATTCAATTTTTGTCCCCATACAAAAAAACCGAAGTTTTTATATTTTTCACTTGCAAGTCTTTGCCAACGTGCCAAGTTCTTTCAATCTTGCAAGTCTTTTCAATCCCCACACCATCAGCAACGTAACAGCATGTGACGTAGCAACGATCCCAGAGATCTCTACAGCGTAGCAACATGAAATGTACGAAGCGCAAGGAACGTAAACATCCCACCCCACCGCACCCCACACCACCCCACACCATCAGCAACGTAACAACATGTGACGTAGCAACGATCCCAGAGATCTCTACAGCGTAGCAACATGAAATGTACGAAGTGCAAGGAACGTAAACATCCCCCCCCACCCCACCCCACACCACCCCACACCATCAGCAACGTAACAACATGTGACGTAGCAACGATCCCAGAGATCTCTACAGCGTAGCAACATGAAATGTACGAAGTGCAAGGAACGTAAACATCCCCCCCCACCCCACCCCTCCCCACCCCACACCATCAGCAACGTAACAACATGTGACGTAGCAACGATCCCAGAGATCTCTACAGCGTAGCAACATGAAATGTACGAAGTGCAAGGAACGTAAACATCCCACCCCACCCCACCCCACCCCACCCCACACCATCAGCAACGTAACAACATGTGACGTAGCAACGATCCCAGAGATCTCTACAGCGTAGCAACATGAAATGTACGAAGTGCAAGGAACGTAAACATCCCACCCCACCCCACCCACCCCCCCACACCATCAGCAACGTAACAACATGTGACGTAGCAACGATCCCAGAGATCTCTACAGCGTAGCAACATGTAATGTACGAAGTGCAAGGAACGTTAACATCCCACCCCACCCCACCCACCCCCCCCACCCCCCCAAAAGAAAACACAACACGCACATGGCACATCAAAACACGCAAACCGCCTGGGGTCGTTAGAGGCGGCGTGAGCTAAAACAACATTAAAACCACATCAAAACAACGTTAAACCAACATTAAAACAACATTAGAACAACATTGAAGCAGCATTAAAACAGCATTAAAACAACATTGAAGCAGCATTAAAACAACATTAACAACAACATTGAAGCAGAACCAAAACAGCATTAAAACAACATTGAAACAACATTAAAACAACAATAAGACAACATTAATACAGCATTAAAGCAGCATTAAAACAACATTAAGACAACATTGAAACAACATTAAGCCAACATTAAAACAACATTGAAACATTATTAACCCAACGTTGAAACAACATTAAAACCACATCAAAACAACGTTAAACCAACATTAAAACGACATTAAAACAACATTGAAACAGCATTAAAACAGCATTAAAACAACATTGAAACAATATTAATCAACATTAAGGCAACAATGAAACAACATTAAACCAACATTGAAACAAAATTAATACATCATTAAACCAACGTTAAAACACCATTAAAACCACATCAAAACAACGTTAAACCAACATTGAAACAACATTAAAGCAACATTTAAACAGTAATCAACCAGTGTCAAAACAACATTAAAACAACATTGAAACAACATTGAAAACATCATTATAGCAACGTTAAAACAACGTTAAAACAACATTGAAACAACATCAAAACAACATTTCAACAACATTGAAACAACATTAAAACAGCATTAAAACAACGTTAAAACAACATTAAAACAACATTGAAACAACATTAAAACAACATTAAAACAACATTAAAACAACATTGAGACATCATTATAACAACATTAAAACAACATTGAAACAACATTAAAACAACATTGAAACAACATTAAAACAACATTGAAACAACATTAAAACAACATTGAAACAATTGTGCAAACTGTCTATTTGGGAGAGTCCGCGTGGGTTACGGTTGAGCCAGGCTGAAATTCAGAGAGAATCGCATCCCATCCCATCGCATCTAATATTGAATCCTTACGCCACTGCATAGTTTTCGTCCATTCCCCCTTGTGCCCTTAAGATTCTTTCGGGCCCACAGTTTGTTTTTTTCGGCATGACTTTCACTGTGGCTGCTGCAATTGTGGTTCCTGCGACCCTTTTGCCCCGAGCCATCTTCTGGAGGTAGAGGCATCTCAGACATCTCCGCAGACAGGGCCACCAAAGCATTGCCACTTGCAAATGCAGGACTGGTCCGGATGGCTGCATGGATTGGTCATCGGCTTGCGTACATTTGTGATGTATTGTGCTGTGATGCATTGACTAGTGTCTTTTGTCACCATCTTTCCGACCATCAGATCTAACCCATGAAACACAGGGAAACCCCCGTTTGCATAATGTTGCGTAACGCTTCAGCCACCCATAGGGCAGCCCGAGCCAGCCTTCCTGTGCCGGGACATGGTATTCTCAGAATTCTCAGTCCCTGCCAGTTTTGATTCCTTTGTTTCCAATGCCAGGACTACAAGGTCCGCGGCCTGGATTGCATGAAGATGTGGCCTTGGATGAGGGATCTGCCAACTTCTGTTTGGGCAGGTCATGGTCAGGCTTTTGATGAGAACGGGCTGCGACTTCTCTCGGTGGCAGCCATGCCATGCAAGGCGTGGAAGTTTTCGAATCTGTGGGTCTTTCGGTGGAGAGGTGGAACTTTCAGACGGAAAGATCACAGAAGCCCCAGCTGCAGCTGCAACTGGAATCCTCCACCATCTTCTGGGGAGCAGATTTGGAACACCGCTTTGCTTCGCAATGTTCTCTGGAATCGGCCTGGCTGTCAGCTGGAACATCACTTGTGCCTGGGAGGTCAACTTCACCAAACTGGATTCGAGGCCGCCAAGGCCTTCCGTGCAGAGCTGGTGGAGAAGGGCATCCTTCACCGAAAAGGCGGCGGCCGAGGCCAAGGCCCTAGAGCTCCGGGAGCAGGACAGCCTACAGCGCCAGGTGAAGTCCGTAGGAGAAGGAGAAGGAAAAGGGAGGGAAGATCGTTATGTCCAAGGCGAAGCCTGGAAAGAAGAGACCAAAGTGAGTGCAAAAGATGCAGATCCTAAAAATGCATAGCTTTATCATGGCCAACTGAGCTACAGAAGGGTTGTAGTAGTTTTTAATTAAAAATGTGAAAACAAGGTGAACAAAAATCTGTTTAAAAAATGCATTTTTTTTGAACAGTGAAAAACATGTATTTTAAAAATGAAAAAACATATGAAAAACAGGTGGTCTTTGAAGCAAATTTGAAGTTTTGTTCTCTTTTCCTTCTGCAGTTGATTTTATGTTTTTGCTCCTGGTAGTCATCGTTTTGCTTTAATAAAACAGATCTGCGATTTGCACAGTCCACTTCCGATCGATTTGAACTGCTCCTCTCCGATTTTCAACCTGCAGAAGTTGGGCAGGCAGCAAAGTAAATGCAGCAAAACTGGACCCCAATTCAGAGTTCCACCTTCCCAGCTGGATTTTAACATGTTTTTTTCCACATTTTCACATTTTTTCACTTTTTCACATTTTTCACATTTTTTCCAAGTGCATTTTCAGGACGCATTTCTTTCACATGTTTTCACATTTTTCACATTTGTGTAAAAAAAAAACGTGAAAAACAATTACTTTACTTCGAGTTATCCCCACCATGACATCTATACGTTTTGTTACTGGCAGATCTTCTGGCATTCTATCTGACATATCTTCTGGCATTTTATCTGGCATATATTCTGGCATTCTATCTGGGGCATATCTTCTGGCATTCTACCTGGCATATCTTCTGCAATATGTTCTGGCATATCTTCTGGCACTCTATCTGGCATATCTTCTGGCATATCTTCTGACATTCTATCTGGCATTCTATCTGGCAAATCTTCTGGCATATGTTCTGGCAAACATTCTGGCACTTTATCTGGCATATCTTCTGGCATTCTATCTGGCATATCTTCTGGTATTCTACCTGGCATATCTTCTGGCATATGTTCTGGCATATCTTCTGGCACTTTATCTGGCATATCTTCTGGCATTCTTTCTGACATTCTATCTGGCGTTCTATCTGGCATATCTTCTGGCATTCTACCTGGCCGTTGAGGTCCAGCGGTGCTCACTGAGCTCGGAGGGTCCCAGGTTGAGGTCTAGCGGTGCTCACTGAGCTCGGAGGGTCCCAGGTTGAGGTCCAGCGGTGCTCACTGAGCTCGGACGGTCCCAGGTTGAGGTCCAGCGGTGCTCACTGAGCTCGGAAGGTCCCAGGTTGAGGTCCAGCGGTGCCCAGTGGCTCAGACCCTTGCAGTCGAGGTCCAGCAGTGCCCACTGCGTGCGGAAGTTGGCCAAGAGCTTGGCGAAGAGCTGGCAAGGCGGAAGTGAACATGGAAGGAGGAGGAGAAGAAGGAGAAGGAGAAGAACAATTCTGATAAAACCTAACAACCCTCACCTGGCAGGTGGGGAAAAACGAAAAAAAATGCGTTCTGAAAACGCGCTTGGAAAAAATGTGACAAAATGTGAAAAAATGGGAACAAAAGGCAGTTGAAAAATTCCTGTTTCTTAGCTCCATTTTCCATTTTTTTACACATATAGTTTTTTTTTCAGATTTTCTTTGAAATCCAATGATAAATTATAGAACATTAAACTTAAACATTAGGATTCCACATAAGCATATATTCATTTTCAATGATTCATGTCAATAGATAATAGATTCACGATGCATGTAAATTCTATTTAATTTAAATTAGGGAAAATTTTAAAGCATGTAATTTCCTGTTTTCCCACATTATTCCACATTGTTTTCATTTTTTTTCACATTTCTGAAATGCATTTTTTCACATTTTTTTTTTACATGCATTTTCAAAATGCGTTATTTTCACATTTATTTCACATTTTTTCACATTTTAAATTAATCATTGTTTTCAACCTTGTAGCTGGAAACGGCCATGATAAACATATAGCTCAGTTTCGGACGCTGTGTCCAGTACAGACCGTTCGCATTTGCTTTATAGAAAAAATCGCATTCAACTTTTTGTGCCTTGCTCTTTTTCCCTCAGCTGCAATGTCGGTAAATCCAGTTCAAAACCGCCCATCATCACGTGGGTCGATATCTTGACGTTTGTGCTATTGGCATGGATGATTTCTTGTTCAATTTAATTTTCCAACATTTGATGTGGATTCCATGGGTTAGGCCTAGGGAAACGGAACTGCAGGCATGATACCGGCATTCAGACATTTGCTTGCGGAAAACCCAACTACCCAAAAATTGAAGTCAGGGTTTGACAAATTTTCAGTCACACTATTTTCTGCGGAATTGTTTTGCACACTCTTGATTTGGGCCTTTGTTGGCAAACCAAACAATTGCAGATTGATTGGCATTGCAATGGCAAAATATGACGTTTTTGTGGTTCTGTCGATTGTGGGGCTCAACCAATGACCAGGTGAACGATTTCGTTTTTTGGTGAAACGTGAACACCAACGAAACGTTGATATCAGACATGAAAATCATTCGACCACAAAATCACATTTGATCTTTTTTACACCACGATGCAAAACCATTATTGTTTCCATGCAGTTTCGAACAGCTTAGATCTTGTCATGACAGAATGTCATGGCAGAATCGCCGGTATCGCCGGTGACCATTCTGGCCACTTACAAGGATCTTATAATTTGCGCCTTGGATAGTTTCATGTTTTTGTTTTAAGTCGTTTTAAGTCGTTAAATGGTTTATGAATTGTTTGTTGGGCCTTGGAACTCTTGGAACTCATTGCTTCGGTTGAATTATTGACATTTGAGGTGTTGTGGCATCTGCTCTGGCCGGTGTTGGAGTAGGATTCTTCGGCTGCCTACTGTCGTCCGCTGACAAGCAAAGGTCCTTTTGTTGTGATTCACTTGTTTTTCATGCCAACGTGCAATTGAATCTGGAAAATTCTGGAAACACATTGCGTTTGTAAAGTTGCCGATTTCTTTTTCTTGAAAAAATGATAAAAAATGCAAATTGCCCACGAACATCTTCGAAGTATTTCATTCACCCATTGTTCTGTTTTGGAGGCAACTGAACGGTGGCAAACACACAGATTGCAGCCGATTGCGGTGTGTCTTGGGAGCTGTAGGACCGTGACCGTGGGTAGCATGAAATGATGATCTTGGTTGAACTTGGTTGCATTGAACTATTACTATTACTATTATTATTATTGAAACATCCCAATAGAGGTATACCCAACAATAAGCCCTAGTGAACTTGAATTTTGAATTTGCACTGCAGTGATGATCAGTGATGTGCAGTATTGAGAAGTGCCCACTGGGCGTGGCAGGATCCACAATCTTCGGAGTGCTATCCCTTGTGGGCCTTGCGTTTGGCCCGGCATAGAACTAAGTCGTACCCGGTAAGACCCCGTTTCATTTTTTTTGCTGTGCAACACCCGACTGAGGTGGCACTTGTGGTTGTGGTACGAGCTGGAGCTACGTTGCCGGCCAATGCCTTTTTTAGCCAGGCCAGGATGTCACCATTTTCCGATTTGTTTTGTGAACGCAGTGCTGTTTGATTTCGGTATGACGATATTCAGTGACTTGAAACCTGAAACATCCTAAAACTTTTCAAGACTTTTGGGATTGGATTTGTTAGGTTCTGTTGGGTTGTTTCTTTAGGACCTTTAGGACCAACAGATTCAGCTGCAATTCCAGGGCCGTTGCGACATTCAGGTCTTCCACCTGCGTCCACTCACAACAAGTGATGCCCTGGGAACTTTGGTCACACTTTCAGGCCTCACATGGGCGGATTGTGCGGGCGGTTTGTGAAAATGGTGGCTGAATTCCTGGCAGATCTGGCAGAGGTGTGGTTTGCTTCACGCTTTTTCAGGGAGAGCCGGGTCCAGAGGCTCGGACATGCTGGGAGCTCGTGAAGAGTCGGATGGTTTCGCCATGTTTCGCCATGTTTCGCCAGTTGATTTTGGCAGGTCAATGTCCGCGTTTTCCTGGACTTTGTGGAGAGACCGGTGTCGATTGCTGATACTCAGGGATGTTTGACGATTCTGTGGAATTGATTTGATTCAAAGGCAGAAATGTCTAGACTTCAAAGTCAAAGTTTTGAACATGATTTTCTTGATTCCCACAGATGTGACAGGGATACTTTCGCATGTTCCTCTGCAGATCCCAAGTCTTTTGACTCTTTGCGTTTCATGACTGATGTAATCACCTTCAAGACGCGTGAGCTGCGTGAGCTGCTTGAGCTGCGTGAGCTGTGAGGTTTGGAATTCTGTTTTGTGTGTAGCAACACTTGCTGGTGCCATAGCCTTAGAAGGTGAAGATTTGCCAAGACATGTCAGGATTTTCTTGGGGGATAGGTATGCCGGGTATGCCGGGTATGCCGGGCCCTGACATCACAAGCTTCTATATCTTCGTATCTTCAAACCGGAGACGGGGATTGAGGTTTTCTACATGTTGGAAGAGCGCTTACGAAGAAGGATTTCTCGGTTGGGATCCTTTTGGGTTGTCTTTCTATCGTGATGTGAGTCCCCTTGTTTCGTGTGTCGAAAAGTCAGGAGTTGCTTGTTGCGCACTCGAAGACTCAGATCGGGTCTCAAGCCGAGGAGTGCAAAGCAACAAAACTGATGAATCAAACTCAGACATGCCAAGAATGAACAAACAATTAAAGAATAATGAACCATATTTTTTTTTAAACTGCAAAGCGACAAAGTGACAAAGTGACATAGCAGTGACATAGCTTGTCACACAGCCGGTCATTGCCATTCTCCGAACACGTTTCGAACACCGTTGGACGTTACACTCATGACTCAGATTGTCCTATACACAATGTCCAAACATCCAAACATATCCTATCCGATCTTCGTTTTACATGTCCTTTCAGCCAACGTGAGGTCGTTGGCCGAGCTTTCGAAACTCTCGTGACTCGGCTTCTTTGGTGTGTGCATCTATGTGCTATCCCTATCCCTCTGTCGCTGCTCATGGGTTTTGTGTCCTAAGGTCGTACCATAAAAAGAGCCATTCGAGGGGAAAGGGAAGAGCAAAACGAATCACAGGAATCACAGGCACGGCACAGAGCGCACAGAGCGCACAGAGCTGGGTCCACTCAGCCGGATGCAGATTGTTCAGGAAAGTGACGCAGAAGAGAAGAGGCCAAAAAACGTAGTTAGTAGTGGTTTAATATCCGTATATGCAAACCATATTTTAAGTCAGGTATAATATGTATGGTTACTTACGAATTACATCGAATTACCTACTCACCAGTTGGCTAACTTCGAGTTTGATCAAGTTGTGCTGTGTCAGGAAGTGCTGTGCCAAGGAGTTGAAGGAGGCGAGAGGTGTATTCTCATGGATTCTGCATGATTTTGCATACTAAAAACATCTAAAAACTGGTTCTGTTTACGATGTTTACGTCAAATTGAAGACATTCCAGATATCTTCAGAATTTCTTCAGATATGTGAAGATCTCCGGAGATATCTTGGGATTTTTGGACTCGGAGCCTCGGAGCACAGGTTCTGGCGGTGTGTTTGGTCACCTCCTGCAGCAGTGCCGAGATGGACGTCGCCGCTAAAGGCTGGGCAGCTGCCCTGAAGGAGGGACCGTCAGGACCTCAGGGGTGTACCATGGTGTACCCGTAGCCATGATGCCATGGCTACCCCAAAGCTGGATGGTTCATCATGGAATATATATATATAACATACCATACATACCAATATATAACATAAAAGTAACATACCAATCTAAAATGGATGAGAACGGTAGCCCTATTTTAGGAAACCTCCAACTGTGGATCACTGTGGATATCTGCCAAGGGGTGCAGCCTTGGAATCGGCCTTGTTTTGGTTGTCGATCATCGTCAACGTGATTTTTCTGGCCTGCAGCCTAGGGCTCCAAAACTTGTGGTGCTGATGCTGTTTGGCACCGGAGAAACCCATAGAACTTGGTGTTTTGGAATGCGGTGCCGGTGATCCGCTGAAATTTTCTCAGGATGATTCAGGTCATTTTTGTCAGCCAAAGGACAGGATATCAAGGTATCATAGGAATTCATAGGAATTCATCGGAATTCATCGGAATTCATCGGAATTCATAGGATTTCGTAGTAGGATATCTATAGTCAGAAGTTTTGCCCAAAGGTCATGGATCAGCTGAGGTCGGAATGCGAGCGGGGACGATCATCGGTTGCCATCGCTGTGACGTTTTGCTCTTCATTCCAACCAGCACGGTGTTGAACATCTTCGTGAGTGTCCCTAGCTCAGCGCCAAAGCCACAACTACTCCACTGAAGGTCCTGATCTTTGGCTTTTTGCATCATTTTGCATCTAGTTTTGTTACTTTTGAAACAAAATTCAGTTGGAACGTTGAATGCATTTGAGGTTGCTACTGGCCTAGTAGTGCACGGGGCTCACAGAAGTCTCATGTGGATTCATGTGGAATATCAATGGAGTATGAAGGGATTGTGGCTGAGACTGTTCCATACTGTTTCACTGTTCCACTCTTCACAGGCTGGAAGAATGGAAGCAAGTGGCCTCGTGGAGTGGCCCTGAGAAAGTCCGCAGTGTCTGTGCTGTTGTGCTGTCCACCGCACTGCCCACACGCAGAAGCGCTGAATCCTGTGAATCACTGAGGACTGGTCTATTTGCCAGTTCCCTTACCGTTCTAGGTGGCATCATTATGCTGCTTGCCAGAGATGTTTACATCAAGATACATCAAGTATCATAGGATCATAGGATTAAGTGGAAGAGAATCCGGACGCATCCGGACGCATCCAGACTTGTGATGAATGTTCCATCCACCCGAGGCTTGTTGATGGTCCAGCCGAAGATACTCAGTCTGCTGCTGACAGAAATTGCCCCTGCACCATTTGAATTTGAACAAGTGACTGGTGGATTCTGAGGCAGGAAACCCTCGCCTTTTCCACAGACATGGTCTCAGAAGAGGACGTTCTGGGCGCTGATTCGACGTGCTTTGGTATTTGTCACCGGTAAGTAGAGCAAGATTACCAGCTGGGTTTTTCAGTGTTTTGGCCAACGTTTTGAACAATAGCTTACCAAGTGCTGAGAAATTCTGCTGCAAATCTCTGCGTCAGTCGCAGGAAGAGTCTACGCAAAGTGACGAGGAGGCCAATAAGTCTCAAAGTTGTCACTGAGAACTTGCCATAGAAAGTCCAACCCTGAACACTATCCACTTACTATCCATGGTGGAAGTGGATGATGATTTCGATGATATTTCGATGACTGAGTCCTGTAGTCGATCCCAGCAGATCTGGCTGGAAATCAGGTGGCTTGCGTTCCAGCGCTCGGTGATGTGGAGGACCATGCTGTAGCATGTTTTTTAATGATTTTTTGGTCGATGTTCCGGACAGAATTGACATATCTTTAATATCTAGAGACAAGGAGCACATGTAATATGTATATATAAATATATATTTACATACATACACATGTTACTATATATATATATAGATAGATAGATAGATAGATAGATAGATAGATATAGAGTGACATTAAAAAAAATAGGAATTACATCAAAAGTCTGATTTGTTGTCCAAGTTTCCAGGGATTTGCCATAGGTGGACGCCTCGGAAGAGGATGTGGAGGGCAGGCGAGCCACAGTTTCGGTCTCTGAGCTCCTGGTGACCACCAAGATGCATGCCATTGCCAATATGAACAAAAAGTCACCACCTCAGAATACCTCAGATGATTCATCTTTTCAATCTCAACTGAGAAGGATTTTTGTTGGGAGTTTTTTAGGCGGATTTTGGCTGGTTTTTGGGTGTTGGAAAATGACCATGCACTGTATGTTTCAGTTTTTTGGCAGTGATTTGCTGCCAGTCATCAAAGATCTGACAGATCATGATCTGTTTCACCAAGTCATTCTCGGGCCGTTTGGTGGAAGATACAGAGGGCACAGGAGGATTCAAAACGGCTTTGTTGCACAGCTCCAAACGGCGACGGAAAGTGCGACGGAAAGTGCTGCTGTGCTGCTAACGGCTAGGACCTGGACCGAATGCGACACACTGGTCGATGGTCATCGGCTCCGGATCTTCAATCGCTGGCACGGATCGCAGATACTCGCCTTGAACCAGATCCTTGCCGTAAAAAATGGTGAATTTCTGTCCGACCTTCAGGTATTTGAGCCATAGATTTTTTGTTTTTTTTGTTGGTCAAGGTCCATGTCATAGATGCCATAGATGCCATAGATGCCATAGCTCTCACGACTTGATGGAAAAATCTGTCAGGAAAACTCTCGCGATCGAAGCAGGACGATTGGCCATGCGGATTCTCCGCACTCGCTGACATGAAACTATATGAAACTTCTCCAAAGCTTGGCATTTTTTTTGTGCCACTTGGAGATCGAATCAATGACAATGCCAAAGAGCACACCTGCAGTGAACCACCGGGTGTTTGTCTGATGTTTCTGTTCTCAGCTAATGCTACGGGAATAAGAAAAGCGGAGAGCTCAGCTGTCTCATCGATGGAAGCGGATGGAAAGGTATTCAAACAATTTCAAACATGGTTCCATTGGGTTCCATTCCTGTTGTCATCTCAAAGGCGAACATTTTCCGGAGTTCTTTTGGGCACATGATGTTCCTGGATCAATATTGGAAAGATGAAAGGATAGTGTCTCTGGAAGTGTCCCTGATGCCTTATGCAACATTTACAGCGTTTGATTTCGGTCAAACACGCATTGATACGCAGTGCTTGGTCCAAAAGTTGTGGCACACGACTCTGAAGTTGGCACCAAGTCGTCAGAAAGTGACGAAACTGCAACATGTGGCAACCTCCGAAAGCACATCAGCCGCGCACTTTTGGTCGATTTCCCATGACTTCCCCCAAGGTTTCACCCGAACAAACTCACAGATGGCACAGATGGCACGGCACATGGCTTTCTCCAACATGCCCTGTGCAAAATTTGTTGAAGATTAGATGATTAAACCATATTAAGCCATATTAAACCATATTAAACCAACCCTGGGCACCGTAAAGATCCAGAAAGAGGCTGCACGCAACGCACAGTTTTGGGCCTCCGATGCGCCCATGTGGCACATGCGGCACATGTGGGCTTGGGTCCTTGCCTTTTGTCTGGCTTGGTGCGCCCAGGACTTAGATCAGCTATGGTCGATTGTTACTTGGACTCTTGATATCTCTTGATATCTCTTGATCAGTTTTGCACCCAAGTCGGAATAGATTCATTGAATTTCATTGAATTTCGATTCATTGACCAGTGACGCTCAGCTGCGGTGACGACGCGGCCACACGTTCGCCACTTTCCGAACACGGCCACGGCCAGGCGACGGCCTTCGACATCGAAGCGCACGATGCCATCGGCCAAACAGCTGCCAGGCTCTCAGCGGACCAACTCATAGCTGTCATAGCTGCCATAGCTGCCATAGCTGCCATGGCTGTGCCATGATCTTCGAGGCCAGTGCAATGGACCAGGAGGCCACCAGGTGCAACTCTCAGCTCGCGGACGCACATGGAGAGGTGGAGTTGGAGGGATCACGGGATCACATTTTTAAGATAATACTAGATACAGAATGATACAGATATTTGATCTTTCAATCTACATATTTGTTTTTTTTGCATCAATGACATACATGTATTCATACTCTTTCATATTCTTTCATATGTCATATTTCATATTATTTCATATTAAGTAATATTTGCACATATATTTGATGTTACATCAAACTATATCACTTGATGACATGCCTCGATGGGTTTTGACTCAGTGTTGTGGCTTCGTGCTAAGGCAGATCAAGAGAATGATGGGTGGCCAGGACCGCGAACAGCAGACTTCACAGTGTTCACAGGTCGACAAGTTGACTTCAGCTGTTCCCAGCTTTCTCGCTTCATTTCGCTTCATTTCGCTTCATTTCGCTTCATTTCTCAATCATGACTTTGCCCCGCTTTGCCCTTTTCAAAGCAGTTTTTGGCGCTGTTCTCTTCATTCTGGAACTCCTGGTTTTTGGATTCCAGAGCCTTTTACATTGATCTCCTTAAGTTTACCCACGCCTCCAGGATGCGTCTGATGTTGCCGGTTGGGGACATCAGGCTCAGATAACCAAGACTCCTGAGTTTTTAGAGCCTTTTTGTGTCTGCAGAGGTTTGGTCATCTGATCTGGCGACTGAATATCGACAGATGGCAGGTGGATGACACCTACCCAGACATGGCACGCTTGCACTTTCAGGTGGCAGTGCCGCATGGCCGGCGCACCGGTTGCGTCGGTTTTCAAGCCACATGGATAGAGTTTCTGCAGAGGTGCATGACGATGCTCCTGGCTTCTGTGGAGAGACTCGCACTGCGAAGTGTGAGGACCAAAAAACAGCAGTTCCTTTCTACAGAAACCTGATGAAACCATGTAGTGCTGTATGGCCAAAATTATGCAATGCCCCTTGCAAGGTAGTTTTTCATTGTGAACACATCCGCATTACCCGCATTCAGTATACATCATCGCTGCCTTGGGGGGTCATCATTGTCATCATGACACATCACAGCAGACTTGGTGTGGATTCTCGTGGGAAACATGAAGCAGTGCTAAGTAGTGACACCAAATTTATACATCAAGACATCAAGAGACGCAGTGTGATTTTCGGATTCGCAATGTGATTTGAAAATTGATTTTCTTCGTGATGTCAGGACAACATTTGTCTGCTCCAATCCATCAAGCACTTCTACGGCAAGGCTTTGGTCAGCATGGCTCTGTCTGCAGCGCTGGATCCTCCTGGATCCTACTGGTAGGTCTTGTCAGATGAAGGAAGAAGGCACTTCTCCGCGGCGCAAAGCTGTGATTTTAATGGTGATTAGTATGATTAGTGATTTTCACTCACATATTTTCACATATTTTCAACTGGTGGAGTGACCTCAAGAAAACTGCTGAAGAATGGCACATTTTCGAAGTCATCACACCAAGCTGGAGGATAGACTTCCCAGAGATTGACTACAGCAAAGTCGCCAAGGTGGACGTGTCAGGCTGTGGTTTTGGTGCATTTTTTGATGCTTTTGACATCACCAGGGAATCAAATTCTCCGACGCGGACTTTTTGAAGATGCTCATCAATCTCGTGGGTGACCTGCATCAGCTTCTTGTCGGAGATACTAACCCCTTGCTATCAACATTAAGCAGCCCAAGTAACCCCAAGCAACCCCCTTGGACATCGAGGTTGGGTATTTGATCTATTCATATCTATTCAATCTATCCAGTCTTGGGCATTTTTTGGGGGTATTTGATATTGGGGGATTGGGTGCTGGGAATATCTTCAACCTTGGCACGTGGCCACTAGGCCGCTGCATGTGGGCTATGCCAATGACAACAGCGGCCGCAAGATTTTGGTGAAATTCCGAGGCGATCTGAGCAATTTCGAACATCCCAGTTGATTGGTGGGGTTAGACCAGAAAAAAGATGAAAAAAGGGGATCAATGATCGATGATTATCGATGGTTCATGATATTTGTCATGATATTTGTCATGATATTTGGGGATCATTGCAGATCATTGCAACACTAATGACCCGCAATCAAATCCCCAGCATTCGAATCATTCGACGTGTGTCAAGGTGAGACCATGTCGCTCTACGACGTGTGGGATCATGCCATCTCGGAGGTCAGAATCACCTTGCTGAGCTGTGCAGCTGTGGAGTCCCTCAGACCTGGGCACCGTGGCACCTGGGCTTCACAGGTGGTTCGCACGCAAGAGAGCAATTTTTGGCTCGGCGGCCCTGAGCTCAGCTGTGTCACAAGGAGTGCCATGGACACTTTGAAGTGAGAACTCATTTGATTTGTCCATGTAGAACATCTTAGACACATCTGAGAAAATTTTTGTTTAGCAGACGGAGTGCATGGGTAAGGCTGGACGCACGTTAGAGCTGTGAGTCGGGCCCTCGTTCGATTTCTTTCAGAGACATGGACAGAGGCTGCGTGTTGCGCGTCTTGCGCATGTTGTGCAGGCAGCGAATGGGAAAAGGACAAGGCAAAGTGGAAAGAGGAGCGGTTTCTGATTTTTTCTTAACGACTGGCAAAGGTTGAGCCACGTGGTAAAGATAGAATCTTGCACCAACCATCTGTCATTGTGTCATTTCATGTGATTTCCAGCATTTGATGATCTCCGATCAGCTCAGTTTGCGCCAGAGATTGGACCAGGATGGGCCTTTCAAAAGCTTCGACCGTTGGCTCAATGAAGCTGTGGAGTTCACCTGCAGCAAGGAGCCAAAATTTGCCCAACTTTTGGTATCCCCTCTATGACCGTGACGTGATGTGATGTGAACTATCGAAGAAGATGTTTGGAACTCAATTTCCGCAAGAACAATGGAGGTTGGATCATTTTGGATCATCATGAATCATCATTTCATCATCCAGACATTTGTTTTTCTATGTGACTGAGAGGCCTACGTGCATCCCATTACTGGAAAGAAACTGGCTGGGCCCAACGCAGAGAATGGTCCACCCGTGGAGATTGGGGAAGATGCCTACCAGGACGTGCCTTCCATTGGTCGATGTCGATGGTTTGCGGCCTGCAAGTCTCCGAACTCCAGGGTTTACGGTAAAAGATGGTAAAAATTCTTGGATCAAATCGATTTTCAGCGTAGAAAATATGGAGTTTTGATGTAGCTCAGACTCGGTTTCATCAGGTGGATGGTCCCTGAAATCCTTTCCGACTCCTGGCATTTCTGGTTTGCACAGCTTGGAGGAATGGCGGCAACTGTGGCTGCGTCAAATCCTGTGCTGCGCTCAATGGGTCCGAAAATAGCACCCTAGCTCCAGTGGCAAGTCACAACAAATATCCAAGGAATCCAATGACCCTGCTGGTTCTGTCAGTCTTCATCAGTCAACAAACCTTTTGCCACTGCGCAAATACGACGTGCTTTCAGATGCTTTCAGGATTGCAGGTGAGCGAACGGCGATTGTGCTCAACGACATCTTGGACAACAAGGCTAAGAGCTTTGCAGCTTCCGATTCTGCTCATGGGAAACAGCAATGTCAATACCTTTCTGCAGAAATCGTGGCAGAAACGAAAGCATGCTGAATCGTTGTTGAAATGTTTGGCTCAAGGAATGAATCTTGACAAACCATGCATGATAAAAGGACAGTGTGGAAACAAATTCTGAAGCAAAGCCAGGTGGATGCAAACCCAGAAATGAACTTTGGCACGTGCATCGGCTGGTTTCGGTTTAAGATTGGCACCTTGATTTCTGGGTTTCCCATGAGGTTTCCCATGAGCTTTCCCATCCATGGCTTCTTGCTGCTGGAGCTGGTTGTAGCTCGGCAGCCGCAGCCGCAGCGGCACCAGCCCCAGATGAGTTACGTCTCGGTTCCCTCGGTGCCGGAGCCGGCCAGCTACCTACGGCCGTTGCTCCGCGAGGCCCGGGACCTGGCTTTGTCGGCCGGGGACTGCTACGAGGCCTGCTTCGTGGCACATGTGGACAGCGTGGTGCGATCGTCAGCAGCCCGGGCATGGGCCAAATTGGACGCCAATTCAGATGGGCAACTTGACCTGGAGGAGCAAAAAGTTCTGGAACCTCTGCAGAAACAGCAGAAACAAGCCAGCGATTTGTGAATCAATGGGTAGTTTGATAACGTTTGATTATAGGCTAATATGATAATGATTGATAATATATATTAATATATGAGAATCATATGGGCCATATATGGGCCATATGGGGTTCATCCAAAATATGTGGACTATCACAACCCACTCAATTTATCTCCAGGAGCTGTCGGTAGTGGTGAAGAAGCCATCGAAGAAAGGGAAGTCGAAAACGCAGAAGCGCTTTGCTGCAGAGCTATGGCCTTTCCTGTACGTCTTGGCCAATCATTTCGCTACAATGGACCTTTCCAGGCCCTGTGTCTATGGCGACTGTTAGAATAGTCTTCATGGTTAAACACATCGAAGAAGTCCTTTGTCCCTTGACACAACTTCTAGGAAAATCAAATGAGGCAGATCATGTCAGAAAATTTCAGATCATGTCAGATTAATATCGATTAATATCGATTAATGGAATTTGATGCACCATAAGTGCACATTACATACATTACACGATCCAGGTCTGCCAGAGTCAGTGTGTCGTCTATGGAGAATCAGACAACTTTGCTGCTCGAATCCGTCAAGTTCTTGGACGAGCGGAAAGCTCTCTTTGACGAAGGCCGGAGTTTCAGCACTTGAAGGGTGAAATTTGCAAAAAACTTCTAGGCTGAATCCACAAGTTGGACATTATTGAAATATGCTTAGATATGTTTATATATTGTTTTTGTGTGTTTTTGTGATAAGCAAATATAGAAAAGACCGGTAAATGATGTAAATGTTGGCACGGAAAGCAGAAGCTTCAGCTGCACCCTGGCAGTAGCTGGTCCTGGTGTTGGGGATGAAGATGGCGCCTTCTCTGATGCAGACTGGCAGAGATGGTTGGCGAGGTGACCCAGATGACCAAAGTGAGGATCATGATTGATAAACAATGAGGTACTGACACAGAAAAGCAAAGGGTTGTCGGCGCATTCTGAAAGCTTGGGTATTGCCAAACACTGGTTTTGTAGATGGACAAGTTCAAAACTGAAATCTTCTGGAAACAGTTAAACAGCTATAAGTTTGTTATGAAACATTTGAGACTGAGATGTGTAGGGCCTGTTTCAGATGGCTGGAGGAAAACCCGGCGCCAGCCGGAGTTTGAGCGAAGCAGTCGCACTCGTCGCACTATGTTGCACTGTGGCCAAAGGTGCCATATCTGCCATATCTACCTCGCGTGTGTCGCAGAAAATTGGCTGCATCCGAATCATTCGAAAGCCGAAAGCAGCAACTTAAAGGAAAGCTCAGCCTGATAAGCCTGATAGGGGGCCGTTGTGCGGGTTTTTCAATGTCCCATCTGAGTGCAGGGAGCAACTCGCCTGGCCACCGGAAGCAAGGCCATATGGATCTCAAGCTGGAAATTGACGCCTTAGAAATTGGATTCATGAAAGTTACATTGCAAAGACTGGAGAAGTGCCAGCTCATGTTAGCAAGCTGTAGTTTCATGTGTTCCATGTCATAAAGTCATGCTGTGACAGTTGTGGTTTTCTTTGTAGGTTCAAACAAAAGCAGATGAAGAGAGGAAGAAGGAGGAGGCAGCAGCTCTGACAGTAGCTTCGATGCGAAACCCAAACCCAAACCCAACACCTTCCAGTGGCATCGCAGGCTGAGTGGGAGAAGGCGGGCGCTTTATCCTGGTTTCCCCGCCTAAGGGACCAATATTCACATTGAAAGACCACAAGGATCTAAATCCACAGGTCCCAGTGACAGGCTGAGTTTGTAGTTCGATTTCTTGCAGTGTTCAACGGGCAAAAACTTGGAGTCCAAAGCTCCCGTGGTAGGGCAGTTTCGCATAGCGTGCCTTTTGGTGTAAACGTCTTGAGTTTGCCCCGGAGTATCTTGATTTCTTCTGCAACCATGCGGGTAACAAGAAGCACAACGAAACACAGTTCTCTAAAGTTCTGGACCATCGTACCTTGGGGCATGGGGCCCCGTCACCTTTTTTGGTGCTGACGTTTTTGGTGTTTTTGGCATCGCATCGGAAGCTCCCCAAAAAGGTGTTTGCTGTTTACATCTGTTTACGTTGTTGACGTGTGTTCTTTGTGTCATTTGTGTCATTTGTGTCCAAAGACCTCGAAGATCCTGCCGATCCTCGAAGTTTTCGACCGAACTTGATCGATGCAGCGCACATTGTTTCAAGCTGGAAGATGCTTTCGCCATGCCGCCAGGAGAGGATTCAGAGACAGAAGGAGCGTCGATCAAGGAGAATTCTGCGGAGTCGAAACACAAATTCAGTGTCAACTCGAGTGTTACCTGGTGATTTTCCATAGTTATGTTACCAGAGGGTAACAATTTTCATACAATTTTCAACAGTTCACATTTCTTTTTGTTCGATGAGGACTTCATCCTCCTTTGTGCGCTCCTCAATGGTTGATGGTTGATGCAATGCAGCTGCGCATTTTTTGCGCAGCAACTTGTCATCCCGTCAGATCAATCCTTCCGCCTTCATCACGAACCTGATCATTGCGGTGTTTGTTGGGTACTAAGATGTACTAAGTATTTGAGATTTGGCTTACTGCAACTTGTGGGTTGATCATTCCTGTGATCTTTGTAGATCGTTCGACACATTTCGCGCTGGTTGAAATTTGATCGCCAGACTGTGCCGATCTTCCTGCTGGTGGCCAACCATGGCTTGAATCCGCAGACCTATGCGGGGCTCATCAGAAGTATCCTGGAAAGTGAAGGGCCTGCACCGAAGAGCGGTGGAAAGCGTTTTGAGTGATGGAAATTGATGGCTTTCAAGGGTTTCACCTTGTATAATCTTGTATATAGGACCTACAATTTTTGCAAATTGCTTTCAGATGTAAATCATTGCCGGCTGGTTTGAGGGCTTTAAAGCAGTACTCGTCTTGACTGCAAAAGAATCAAGTGTCATCAAATTGCATTGTATTTGGAAGACTGGAACCTTGTTAAGGCTTCGAATAAGAATGCTTTGGTGCAGTTCCTTGGGCAATGGCACGTAAATTTGTGGCATGATGTAATTCTGCTTCTTCATCTCGTCAAAACTCTCCGAACATTTTGATGTTGAATTCTGTGTTGGATGACCGCCATTGCTTTCATTCTAAGAAGCAAAACCTTGCACCGCCAAAAACAGATTTTGGAAGAACTTGTCATTGTATCCTTGTTGCAGGCTGCCGAGTGGAAGCTTTTGGCTGGAGCATAGTAGATACGAAGTTCACTAGGTCAATAGACAGGTAGATAGTTAGCTGAAAACTAGATATTACATGATATTACAAGATAGACGTAGACAGATAGATACATGGATGGAGAGGTAGAGTCGACTAGGGACCCTATCTTCGGGAAACTTCCGTCATCACCTTGTGGTTACTACGGATATTTTGAATTGTGTTACCTTGCATTATCTTAGCATATCTTAGCATTATCTCACACACACACACCATACAATCAAGTCATATCAAATCATACTTGCAGCGAATGCAGGAGATGACCCCCAAAACATCCAAAAACCACGGTTCTAATACCCTGCCTGTTCGGAAGAGTGACTTGAGAATCGTGTGCGCCGGGCGTGCAAGATGAAACGTCCGGCCATGGCACGTTCACCCAAGAAGCTATCTGTAGTGTCTCCTTGGGCACCTTCCAGCCATCTGAATTTCAAGTGGAGGGAAACAGCGCCAATGCCGCCAATGGAGGACACAGGGGAGAGAGATCTGGCTGTCACCGCCGTAACAGGCCACCCTGGCAATCTATGCAAAGTCGCTATCGCCGTTACTGGAGCAACATGAAGAACTTGCCAAACCCTTAGCGAATGGTGCAGCTCCAAGGGCACCTGCCGGGACGGGGCCTAGCGCTGCAGCATTGGCAGACGAGGACTTAGTTGAGGACTTCTCCCAGCCTAGAGCAAGTCCCAAGAGGAAGGCGCATGAGGCCGAAACCCAGAGAAAGAGGCCACGACGGCACAAGTCTTTGTGCTCGCAACCGCGCAGATTGGGAGCACCTGAAACGGCGACAGCAACTCCGAGGGAATCTGGTGAAGTTGTACCTGAATCTCACAGACCTTTGAGCCTCAGCTCGCAAATGCTGAGGCCTCGGCTGCAAGGCTTGTGCAACAGCTGACTTTGGATCTTTTCGAAGGTGTTCCAGAGTGGAGGCTTGTGTGACCCAAGGGATTTCGTGACCGTCGTTGCTTCAGCGCTGTTCAGACGGGAAAGAAAGACATACCCAGGCCCTACACCAGGGCTTTGGGTTGCCATTTAGTACCGGCCAGTGCTGTTGTGGCTGCTAAGCAGGAGCCCGAAAACAACAGATGGATTGGATGGATATGCTGAACAATTCGTGACTTTCCAACGAATCCCTGATCTCTTTGTGGCTGTTTCTGGATGCCGGGGCTGAAAAAAAAGTTTTGTCCTGGGATTCCTTAGCATGCTACCGGTATACGTTAAGGCATCCGAGCAGATTTGATTCCAAGGATCCCATGGCATGTACTTACCCCAAAGAACATGGTCCTGCCATGCAAACTTGTTGGTGACGATTCTGCAGGGCATTGCTCGTCAACGTTCATGGATTGTGTCTCAAGATGTGAGCAATTGATGATAATTGATGTAATTGCTTGAAGTCTGCAACAAACATCAATAGCATTGAATAGCAAGGAGCATTGCAGCATAGCCCTTGTAGTTCCATCACAGAGAACTTCGAAGGCATGATTTGACCAGCTCATTTTCAAGACCCAACGCAGTCGACACTTTTCATTTTTTCGTGGGTCACACCCGCCATAACCTGCCAATGCAATGATTAAGCGAGCTGTGCTCTGGGACGACGCCCATGATGCGGGTGATTCTGAAGATGAGATCACCGAGAAACAGCAGCAGCAGTTGGAGAGGCCATTTTTATGCGGGGTGGGTCACAAATTGATGCAGGTTGAAGGCACAAAAGGTACCACTGTACCACACTCATTCCGACTGTGCCAGAGGCGGTTGCTGCCTGGTGCACAAAGAGGCCATGTGACTGGTGGTGACTTGTGGTGACTTGGTGTCCATCATTTCTCAGAGGGGTAGGTATACCACCAACCAGATTATTATTAACCATCATTAACCATCAATAACCATATCATAAGCATATAATAACCATATAATATAGCCCATTATTTGATGGAGGGTGGTATACCACCATATCATCAAGCTGGTATCATGATTGTTGGTGTGTACAGAATGATACCAGCTGTACACCAACCTGCCTCAGGGAGCCGAGCAAAGGACTCGGACGATGAATCCCAGGAGGAGTGATGCAGTGCCTTAGTTGGCTCAGTTGGCTCCGTGACAGGTGACCTTAGGTGACCTTAGGTGACCTTAGGTGATTTTAGGTGACCTGGGACTGATGTTTTTGGCCCTCTGTTTCTCTGATTCTGAGATCATTTTTCAGGAGGACTCTGATTCAGATCCAGCGGTTCCAGAACCGGAGGCACCAACGGCTGCGGTCTGCGGTCGGCGGTCGGCAAACAGAATTACTGAACGAGTGGTTCACGAAGATCAGAAGATTGTAAGCTGATGATGAAATTCATGAAACTGAATATATATTGTAACATTCTATAACAATCTATAACATGCCTTCACATGCTGCAGGAGAAACCAATCAGAGGCAAGTTCCAGTGCCAATTGTGTCCGGACAAGATTCTGATCAACGAAAAGCACATGGAGGCGCGTTTCGTCGGGATGAAATGCAGACTTCGGCGTTTCGTGATGTCCTTCGTGCAGTTGCACCTGCAAAGCGCTGGGCACAAGAAAAATGTGAAGCGCTTTGAAAGAGCGAAGGCGCCAAGTTTTGCGGGTCTTCGCTTTTGCACAGTTCATCTCCACACTATTCCACACTTAAACCATATCTCGAAATCGTCATTTGTTCGGTGTTAAAAACTCAGCAAATTGGAATTGTGGCACCTAGCATTGTGGCTGCCATATGCTGCCATGGTGTCCTGGTGTAGGAGATGGGCGTTGAAGCCTTTGAAGCCGAATGTGCTGCGAAGGTACAAGCACGTGCGGCGCAGGAAGCTGCTCGAGCAGCTGGGGCGCTGTCACGGAAAGAGCAAAAGAATCAAAGTTATTGGCAGCGCCGGAATCAGCGAAAGAAGGCAAGTCGGGGTTGCGCATGCGAAAAGAGTGTATCCAAATGTCACATTTTTTGGAAGTTCTATGGTGTTTATAATATGTTGTTGTAGGATCTTTGTATCCTTGATTACATTGTATATCAATGTATGATGTCTCCTTTCTCAATGCCCCCTTGTTGACAGTAGCCAGAAAGAGGTTGTCATGGCGCAAGTGGTAGGCCACTAAAGAAGAGAAGAAGGCCATGAAGAAAGAAAAAGCTGCGAAACGCAGCCAGGTTCAGAAAGGTGAGGTGAAGGAGCTCAAGATGAAAAGTGAAGTGAAAGAATTTGAAAAGAAGCCCAAAAAATCCAAAGCCGAGAAGGCTCAGGAAGTGGCAGAGGAGGAAGTGCCTTTGAAAGCGACTTCCAAGCCTAAAAAGAAGATGAAAACCACTAAAGCTTCCAGGCTCCAAAGTGAAGAACTGGAAGGCAGGGAAGGGAGTCTCACATGTTGTTTTACCCTGTGACTATCCATGATTACCCCTTGATCTCGATACATCTCAATGTCGTTTTGCGGTTTTGCTTTTGACTTTTGCAGTTGAAGTGCAGCAAGCCAAGCCTGGACAAGCAACAAAGAAGGCCTCAAGAGTCCATGAATTCGCAAAGAATTGGCTGACCCATCTTTTTGCTGGCCTTCCCCTTGGAGGCAAAGAAACTTAAGGCATCTTGAAGAGCCACAAAAATCTTTGAGGTGCGCTGTAAAAGGCTTTGTTCACATGGCGCATTGGTGGTTTGTCTATTTTTTCTTTCCCAACTCAAGGTCTCTGATTTGTTTTGCTGCTTGGCATTGCTCCATGTCAAACAACATTTTTCACCACTTCTTTGCCGTTCACCGTCGAAACGCCTTTCAAGGCTAGGACCGGGTGGTAGTTTTCTGCGGTTTCGTCAAAGCACGGACAACTAGCCGCCTCTGGCGGCCTGAGCCCTTGACGCCGACGCCATGCGCATCGCCATGTTCTCCTGGGAGTCCCTGCACTCCATCAGCGTCGGCGGCGTGGCGCCGCACGTCACCGAGTTGGCTGCGGCCCTGCAACGGCGGAACCATGAGGTGCACGTCTTCACTCGCCGCGCAGAGGGCCAACAGCTCCATGAGGCAAGGTGAAGACGTATGACGTTGAAGATCATTTAAGACACATATAGGTGTTACAAGAGGTTCAGAATTGTTGAGATCTATACAGATACTTACAGGTCCTACATTACATTGACCCTTTGTTTGTTTCAAACTTGTTTGCAAAGTTGTTTGTATGCAGCTTTACTCTTCGGTCTTACTGTTGACAAAAGAGGGGAACAACGACTACATAGACATACATAGACTACATATCTCACTTGTGCTTGTGATTCTTGATAGTGGAGGCACGCTCAACTTGATGATGTGTGGATGTGGATTTTGCAGGAGATCTATGGAGTGCAGTATCATCGAGTGCAAAGTCCGCCAAGTGATGACTTCGTGGATCAAATGGAAAAGATGTGCAATTCCATGGTGTGGTGCTTCGGTGTTTTGGCAAAAACAGGTGAAATCAAGTGGTGAAATCAAGTGAAATCCAGGATGGCTGATAGATGCCCCAACAAAGAACTTGCATCGAATGGCATCAGACCTCTCTTAGTTGACACTAGTTGACCAGGATGTTGGTTGTGATCACAGCTTAGGTGAGACCATGTCTGTGGTGGGCGACTTTGATATCGCACATGCGCATGACTGGATGACTGGCAAAGCCATGGTGCAGTGCAAAAATTCCCATGGGCTCCGTTGTATCTTCACCTTCCACAGCACCGAGCAGGGACGAAGTGGAGGAGCTTCGCGAGTCGTTCTCTCCTCCCCTCAAGTAGTCATTGTCAAAATGTCAAAACACATAGTTGAACTATGTTAACTTGAACTATGTTAAGTTGAACTATGTTAAAATATGTTTGGCAATGACACTGAAGTCACATTGCCGAGTTCTTTGGTGCTTTTCCCCCATGCCAGGCCCCGGGGGCGGCTCCGAGTGCGTGTCGGGCATGGAGGGCGAGGCCGCCTTCGTGGCGGATCGGGTCATCGCGGTGTCGGAGCGGCTGAAGGTGGAGCTCTGTGAGACCTATCAGCTGCCCGAGGCATGGGCCCCTTGGGGGACCCCTTGGGGGTTGATGGGTGCCTCCTAGGGATGGGGGGAAACACTGATGATGGCCATATAAAAAAAGGAGCTTTCCTAAAGTCATGGTACCCCCAGTTCTAAAATATTCTAAACAGTTCTCATCCGTAGATGGGTATTTTCCATGACATAAACCATCCAGCTATGGGGGTCCCCCATTTATGGAAACCCCCCATATACTTCTGATAAATGATGGATGATTATGGATGATTATGGATTCTGGGGATGGGGTTGATGATGACAATGGCCATGATGGTTATGATTGTCGGAAATATGGAGATTGGATGAGAATTGGATGAGATTTGTCGTTTCGTTGCTGAATTTTCTCAGCCGCAGGCCACATCACTGTTGGTTTGAGTTTTGTGAGGAAAGTCCATAGCGGCGCATTTTTTTTTTGGCAGCAACCATATTGATCCCGACTTTGGGGACCCAGCATAGCTTGCGACGCTTGCGAAAGCCGTGAGGCCAAGGTCTGGGCGATCAACAATGGCATCCAGTGTGCCCGCTTTGATGGCATGCTGGAGGATCCTGGCTCCATCAAGGGAAACTATGGCATCGGTCCCTTAGATCCGGTGGTGCTTTTCGTGGGTCGCATGGTGGGTGGCATGAAGGGTGGCGACATCTTGATTGAGGCGGTGCCCGATATCTTGGGATCTCATGGCGATGCCAAGATCGTCTTTGTGGGTGACGGTGACAACAAGATGCATTGCGACCACAGAGCCAAAGAACTCAACGTCGAAGGTTCCTGCCGTTTCTTGGGATCACGCTCTGGCGAAGAGCTTGTGAATCTGTTACTTGGAATCATCAGATACCAAAAGAAGAACACAAGATTATGATTCTGAGATATTCTGAGCATGTTGCTGATTTAGTCAACACTCGTTCTGGCACAATCTTACCCGCCACATTTGCAATCTGATATAATCTGATTATCCTCCCAGGTACCTCTTTTTATATGTGTTTCATGGGTTTCATGGTACATATCCCAAAGCTCGACCAAAGCGAGTGTGAGGTTCAAGGTGGCTGACTGCGTGGTGGTACCCAGCCGATATGAACCATTCGGCCTCACGGTCTGTGAAGCTTGGTCAGCTGGGAAAGTCGTGGTCGTTGCTTGGCACTTTTGGCACTTTTGGCACTTTGGCACTTTGGCACTTGGCAATCACTTGGCATGTCAAGAGATGGAGATGGAAGAGAAGACATTTCTGCGGTGCTTTGATTTAAAGAGATTTTAAGCCTCCTGTAGCCCAAGTTGGGACAATTTGGGACACCGAGAAATTCGCAGCTTTGTTGCGAGGCTTCAGATCAGGTGGGATGTCCTGTGAGCCACGGTGAAGACGGGTGGGTTGTCTCTGCCACTCAGTTGCGGTAGTTGTGGTAAGCAATGAATTTTACGGTGGCACAAATTGATCCCTTCTCATGCTGATTCAGAGGATTGCACCTTATGGGTTTGATTGAACGTTTGGAAATTATATGAAATTATTCTACAATGCCCTTTTCGAATTGGAAATTGGATGTGCTAAATCGGACGTTCAGACGTTTCTGAAATCTGAGGCCACACCGGAAGGTGTCGCTTGGGGCGTCAATGAAGTCTTCCGTGACTGGGACCGTGCCAGAGAAATGGGCGCCAAGGGTCGAGTGAAGGCAGCTTTCTCCCTGTCCTGGGACACCGTGGCTGAGCTAACTGAGAAAGCCTACACCGAATTCTAATGACCAATTGTGACCAAAGGCACCGCCAAATGATCCGATGCGCAACGATTTCAATTTGTTGACGTTTCTCCTGAAACTGTTGACTCTGAATCTTTTGATTTCACTTGAAATCTAAGTAAAGGAACATATGGTTGCATGCTGTTACTCAATTTCGATTCTGAGTCAGTTGGTTTCAGTATCAGCTCGAAGCCATATGTTCGAGCTCCGTATGATTTCATAGCAGCGAACTAGCTGCTCTTTGGAAAAAGTCTCCAATGTTGAGGCTCTTGCGGAAGCAGACGCAAAAACAGCTGGGAATCTTCAACCCGTGGATTTGTAGGAGCCTGCTGAATTTAGGCAAAAAGATGTGAAAAGCTTATGAGCAGATTGTTTGCTGCTGATGTAGACAACTGCTTGACATCCACTGATTCATTGATTCGTGCTTGCGCTTTTTTCTCAAGAGCCCTGGCTCTCTTGTCAACATAACCCATTAACCCATGCTCGAGTTCAATGCCAAAGTGGCAACTGCAGCCAGCCAATTTCAATGAAGGATGTTTTTTTAACTTCAAGTTCATGGTTGTGACACTGGAAAAGACATGAAAAGACTGCTGGGGATTGGCATGTTTCCCAAGCCAGAAGCATGAACACATATGAACACATATCATTTTTTCGCCCTTCAATAGCCACATTTCCCAACACCCTTTGTATGCCAATGGCCTGGGCCCTGGAAGTTTTGTCCTTTGCGACGCTTGCGTTTGTGACGTTGTCGGAAAAGAGTGACGTTTTGTCACTTCGCTTTTACAGCAAATCTGGTGACCACTGGGGATTTGTAGATCAGGCAGTTCCGAACAGACCCATTCATGCGACCTGGCCAAAGCGATGTTGGCCCCACTGCCGTGATGAAAACCATCCGTCCTTTGAAAGAAGTCAGAGAGTGTGGGAACAACGAATGAATCGCTTCACAGACGTCAAATCTATGAATCTACAAGATCGACGTTTTGAATTTCGGGATTTCCATGGTTCCTTTGCGTTGGATTTCGAGATACGCAAGTGGCAAACATTGGAGCAGACCAGTGACGGAAAACAAGGAAATAGCTTCAAAGGTCTAGCCGAAGCTGCAGATCTTTTGGAAGCTGATGATGGAACGGTCAGAACAGTCGTTGATGTTGGAGCAAACTTGGGTTTCAGTTCCATCATGGTTGCAGCGCGGCTGCCGCACAGCCGGGTCATTGCCATCGAAGCGAACCCTGTGCTGTTTCGGGTGTTGCAGTGGAACATTCGGGCCAACAATGTCACTGAAAATGTTTGGCCTCTGAACATAGCCATTTCACGAGAAGGAAATGGTCAGTGCAATCCAGCAGATGAATTGTTCTCAGACTGCGTGACCATGAAAGTCAGCAAGAATCACCGCGCAGGCTGGGTAATTAAGTCTTTAGCAAAAGATGCGTTTGATTTAAGAAGTCTTTACATCCTCATCATATCACATGTTCCATATCGGTTGTGTTTGGTACAAGTCTGTGAATAGATGGTTGTGTTTTTGACTCAGTCCAGACATGTTTGAGACATGTTTGCTCTAAATTCATTTAAATTCTACCTATATGTCGTTTTGATTCTTTCTGTGTGAAGCCGCACAGGCTTTATTCAAAGTGAAGGTGCGTGTGAGACAAATCTGCAAGACACATGCTTTCAAGTGCCAGCATGGGCCTTGAGAAACGTGGCGCAGCGCCTTAATCTGACGAAGATTCATCATTTGAAGCTGAACTGCGAAGGCTGTGAATACCACATCCTTAGTGACCCAGTAGTGAGGCAGATGAAGGAACAGGGCGATCTGGGCAACATCAGTGGAGAATTGCACCATTTCCATCAGTTCGAACCCTTCGAAAGCATCCCAGCTGAGATGGTGGAGCCCACCATGAAGATCATGTGTAACGAAGAATTTGTTTCAGACAACAGCAGGATCTGTGAAAGCGCGAGCGGCGCCAAAAGCAGCAGATTTTTGCTTAGCTACAGCGTTTCATTGAAGGGAGTAGGTTGGGTCAAGAACAGAGACCATGCAACACAATGCAACTTGTCAGATATCGTTGTCGGTGTTGGTTCTTGCCGAGCAGTGTGTTGCCTGTCCAGGTCAGTGAATGCCGAGAAGACGGGGCATTGTGCAAACCATGCGAAAAAAAATCCCTGACCGCACCCAGTTTGCAAAGTAACAGCTGTCACTGCTTGAGTCAATCATTACTTGAACGGTACTGAACCGAAAGATCCAAAAGTCTGGCCATGATTTGTGGGCATGGTGCCTTTCCGTGCTATGCTTCAGACCATGGCGAAGCCATGGGGTTTTTGTGCCTACACAATACACAATTCACTGAACGTGACTATGTTTATGATTGTTGCAAATGGCTAGCCTTGGCGCTCTTGGCCGAAGGAAGTTTAGATGTCAAACATCCGACAATATGGACAGATGAAAAAGCAGAGGTAGGAAGACAGAGAAGAGGAGAGAAGAGAAAGAAGATCAGAGAAGAGAAAGAGTCAGAAGAAAGAAGATGCAGGTGCGCGAAACGGTAAAAAAGTCGCGAAACACTGTGTTTTTCCAAAGTTTTGTGGCTCTGGAGGCTCGAAAAGTAGGCTCGCTAAAGCGGCGGGTGCGGAGCCATCTGGCCAGATGAGAGATGAAAAATTGCACGCCGTTGTGGCGCGAAGCACATTTTGAAGTCAAAATGTACATACAAAGCACTATTCTCGGAGCACTTTTGGAAGTTGAGATACTCAAAAAGTGCACGGCGTTGTGGCACGAAGCACATGCCCAGGTCAACATGCAAAAAAAGAACTGACGGTTTCGGAGCATGAGGATGTGGTTTCGCGTGGCAGGCGCAAGGGATTCTGCACCTTCCCAAAAGTGAGCAAGACGTGAAGGTTTTGTAGCAGTTTCAAAAGCGTTGGCAGGCGTGGAACATTTGAAGAGGCTGTGGAACGATGCATTTCGCGCGGCAAGCGCAATATACGAGACACCTGAGTCAGAAATGTTAGGAGGTCTGGGCGCTGATTTCCTGCATCAGATCTTCAGGTTTGCTAAGATGATTTTACGTGACAGGTGCAGCACGTCGTGTGACGCGAACAGCTTTCTGGAGCAACTGTGGGGTGCAGCTATGCGCGAAGCAGTTTTCGATGACGCCTTCTGGGAGCAGCTTTCGGGGCGTCACTTTGGGAAACAGCTTTTGATAGCTTTTGGTTGCAATTTTGGGGAGCATTTGGTAGCGCTTGGGGATTCGCGGCCTTCTGACTGGTATTGTCCAATACTATCCATATGGATTTTTTTCTTTCCGGGACGTATATTTGTCGGCAAGGCTGGGAACAACTCTTATCTAAATTACTAATTCATTTTAAAATTCAATACTTTATTTTGCAACGAATTATATAATTATATAATATTTTGGAATTAATAATTATGTTTTTTTAAAATATATAAATATATTTAAAATAAATGTAGTTGCTTTTTATGTTGGGAATTTTCCCTTTAGCGGGATTGGAGCTAATTAAAAAATTACAATGAATATATATGGCATTTTAGAAATTATTTTTTTAGATATAAACCTAATAAATTAATAATAATTTC